TTCTTTTTCTCCCCCGTTAATCACGGCAGTCTGAATTTTTCAGTAATAACACTAATTAGTGCCTAGTATCTGCATTGCCCTTTCCAATTTTCAAAACACTTTTTCCATGCACATTGTCTCATTTAATCCTCCTGATAGTCCCAGGGGAAAGACAGTATTATTTTCATCCCATCTTTAACGAGGGGGAAAAGCAAGATTCAGGGAATTTATTTAACTAGTTCTTCCTTCTTTCGATGCTGTTAGGCCGCCTCTGTGCAATATGCTAATACAATCCTAACTCAGGTTCTAAATTAGAAGGAATACTTTTTTTTTTAAGTTGAATTTTTATCTATGTGAATCATCCGTCTCCTTCACCCACTGGACTTTGCCTCTTTGAAGCCAATTGGGCCGTGCTGAAGAGATTCAGAATCTCGAGTGGGAGACTGTGGATCATGGCTGATTTCTTCTCTCTACCTGTGCAGAGATGTTTGAGGCTTTTGTTCTCTTCTTCCTTAGCTGCCAAAGTAATGCATGTTGCTGCTATAAAAAAAAATTCAAATAGTGTAAAAGGTTTAGAAGAAAGAATACTCTCTGCCCACCCCAGTCTTCTGGTCCTATTCCCAGAAGCAAACTTGGTACAAGAGTTTCTTGTGTCTCCTTCCAGAAATATTCTCTGCACATAGAAGCATTAAGTTTAGCTTGTCTGCATGAGCAAATGAGAGAATTCTAGCAACTCCTGCCTGTGCTCATTAGCAATACAGTAGAGATCTTTCTTTATCAGTACCAATGCATGACCTCGTTCTTTTTCAACCAATCTTTAGCATTCCATTGCCTGACAGTCTATAATTTATTTAACCCATCTTCTATGGATAGTTATGCAGGTCATTTCTAGTCTTTTTTTCTTTCAACTAGGCTTCGTTGAACATCCCTGCACATGTGTCTTTCTACAGACATGTAAGTGTATTTGGAGGATAAATTACTAGGAGTGGGATTTATTTCATTCTCAGTATTCCATAGACTTCCACATCCCCAGCTCATATTCTTCTTGGGGGAAGTTGTGACTTAAATCACCTTTGCTAGAATCTTTAGTCTCAAGCTTTGGCTTTAAAGGCAATAAAACATCCGTTCGCTACTGCCTTTTTAATGTCCTGTGTTTGGAGAGCATTATCGAGTTACCTGGGCTTTTGGGCTGCACTTCTCAAGTTGAAAGACTGTACTTTCTCTGCCCCCAGGTTGCAATCACAGACTTAGACACAGTGATTCCTCCCAGGGAGTCTGGCTAACTTCTCCACACGCAAGATGAAGGTTGGGCTCAGCTTCATTCTGGGCTCAGTTTGAAGTTCAGTCTGACTAAGTCTGTGTCACATGGTGAAAGGACCTTCCCCAGACAAGGTTTTGAATCCCTTGGCTAACCTAGAAAATGGGCCTCGGGGTTCCCCCCACCAGGAATGAGATTAAAAGTGGTTAGCAAGCTGGAGCCTGTGGCTCATTCCTGTAATCCTAGTTACACAGGAGGCTCAGATTTGAGCATCACAGCTCAAAGACAACCCTGGACAAGAAAATCCTGGATACTCTTAACTCCAATTAACCATCAGAAAGCCAGAAGTGGAGCTGTGGCTCAGGTGATAAAGCATTAACCTTGAGCACAAAAGCTCAGAGATAGCACCTAGGCCCTAAGTTCAAACCCCAGGCCCAGCACACGTGCGCGCGCACGCACGCACACACACACACACACACACACACACACACACACATACACACACAGAGTAGTTAGCAAGCAGGAAGGATTGGGATCTACAATTAGTTTTATGAGAGTGCTATACTTAGTGCCAAAGAAAGAAGCCCCACAGCTCTAACCTGAAGGTGGGGTTAGCTTGGACAGTAGGGCCTTGGCAGTTCACTTTGAGGATTGTATTCAAGAAATTATATGACATTCAATATTTTATCATAATATAGGCTTTGCCCAATGGTAGGCAAGTGTACATGTTGTGAGACTTCTTTTTTTATTGGAGTTTTTATAGAGTTTGAACTGAGAGCTTCATGCTTGATGTTCTACTACTTGAGCCACTCCACCAAGCCATTGCTAGAGATGGAGTCTTATAAACCTATGCTCTGGCTGGCCTCAGCCATGATATCCTGATCTCTGCTTCCCAAAAAGCTGAAATTATTACAAGCTTGAACCATCACATCCAGCGCTGAGCATATTTGAAGTAAGTTAGGACAGGTTAAGCTATGACATTTGGTAGGCTAAGTGTATGAAATTTGTATTTGATACTTAAGTTTTACCACTCCCATTTATTGGACGGTAGCCCCACCATTAAGGAATATCTCTATAGCCTTCTTAGCAGTTGTAATCAGCTACTAGACAATAATCTAAATGTTATGTTGGGCTAGATGAATTAAAAAGTCCCGTTCCAAAATGGCATTCAGAACTTCTGATTATAGCAGACAATATTATACCTAGGGAGACTACCACAGAAGTCTGAAATTAGATTATTGAAACTACAGATTTTACAAGAAAATGATCCTTACTTTAGCTTTGTTGGGTAGTAAAGAAATGTTTTTGTAAAGTTATTTTAGATAACCATCACTCTCAGAATTCCTTCTGGGGTCTAACATGCCCGTCTGGTCTCTTCTGCTTCATTCAGCATGGTGGAAGGCAAACCAATGTTGAACTGATTGTCACCCTTTCTGGGAAATCTCTCCCTCAGATTCCAATGACACCTTTGCATTAATCCCATCTCCACCATCAAAACATACCAGCAAGTCCAGTGTGCCCAAGTGAGCTCAAATAAAAAAATTGCTAAGTGTTTCTGTTGGAACTGATTATTCTACCCTTTTGGGTCTTCATATACATCTTTAAGAACATTTATAGGCACTGAGGGAACACTGGCTTATTTAATCTTATTAAATATATACACAAGGGCCTGAGATTCTCCAAACTGCTCTTACAATTTCCAAATTATATTAAACCAAAGGTACTGCTCTACTTAGTAAAATTTCTTGTTTCCTTTTGGGAAATGAGAGCTAGAATGGCTAGTGCCCCAAGCAGAGGGCCTCATAATTTGTGCCAATATTGATGTTTGGTAACTCTCACAGGAGCTAACTCTTCTTTGTGAAGCTCAGAAAAAATGGATGCTTCCATCAATTAATTATGGATGGTTAAACACAGAAACATTGTTTTTTCAACTTTTTAAAATGAGTATTGCTCTTTTTTTGGTGGCTAATTGGAGATAAGAGTCTCATGAACTCTTCTGCCCAGGTTAGCTTTAAACCACGATCCTCAGATCTAACTTTCCTGAGTAGCTAGGATTATAGACATGAGCCACCAGCACCTGGCCTCAAGAAACATTTTAAGAAAGAGAAAAGTATACGTGTTTTTTTTTTTTGTTTTTTGTTTTATTTTTTGTTTTTTTGTCAGTCATGTAGCTTGGGGCTGGAACTCAAGCCTGGACTCTGTCCCTAAGCTCTTTTGCTCAAGACTAGTGCTATACCACTTTGAGCCCAAATGCTATTTCTAGTTTTCTGGTGGCTAATTGGAGATAAGAGTATCATGGACTTTCCTGCCCAAGCTGGCTCTGAACCATGATCCTTAGATCACAGTCTCCTGAATAGGTAGGGTTACAGGCAGGAGCCACAGAATCCTTTTTCTTTGGTGGGGGAAATAAGGAAAAAAGAAAATGTATACTTAGCCTTATTCATGGAAATAAGTATTGAATACGGAACTGAAAGAATTCAGTTTTCCTTGTGTGATAATAGTTAGGCATCCCTGTGTTTTCTAGAACCACAGAAATCTCCCAGGATTGTGAACCTGCTGTAAGAGTAGTTGTTAGTCCCTTTTATGTAGGGCAATGTGCTCAGTGTTTCTGGAAACTTCGCACCAAAACTAAACTAAAACAATGCTTGGGATGTAGCTCTGTGGTAGAGCACTTGCTTGGCATATAAACCATTATGTGTGTGTGTGTGTGTGTGTGTGTGTGTGTGTGCACGTGCGCGCATGCATGCCTGTGCACGCGTGTGCACGTGCGTGAGCACGCTCACCAGTACTAGCTTGCCTCAGTATTGTTCTTAGCTTTTTTGCTCAAGACTAGTGCTCTACCACTTGAGCCACAGCTCCATTTCCCACTTTCTGATGGTTAAAATTCCTGCCCTGGCTGGCTTTGAACTGGGATCCTCAGATCTCAGCTTCCTGAGTACCTAGGATGACAGGTATGAACCACCAGCACCTGGTTAAAAAACATTTTTGGGGGGCTGGGAAGGTGGCTCAGTGGTAGAGCACTTGCCTTGCGTGCTCGAGGCCCTGGGTTCGATTCCTTAGCACCACATAAGCAAAAAGAAAAAAAGCCGGAAGTGGCGCTGTGGCTCAAGTGGTAGAGCGCTAGCCTTGAGCTGAAGAGCTGAGAGACAGCGCCCAGGCCCGAGTTCAGGCCCCACTACCGGACCCAAAAAAAAAAAACATTTTTTGTTGTTGTTGTTGTTTCTTGTTTTTTTTTGGGGGGGGGGGCGGATCTGGGGGGCTGGTTCAGCTCCTCAGCTCAAGGCTAGCGCTCTACCACTTGAGCCACAGTGCCACTTCTGGCTTTTTTCTTTTTGCTTATGTGGTGCTGAGGAATTGAACCCAGGGCCTCAGGCATGCAAGGCAAGCGCTCTACCACTGAGTCACCTTCCCAGCCCTGTGGTTGTTGTTTTTTAACCCCCAAATAAATAGAAACCTGAGTTTGAGACCTGAAATTTGACTTTGCCACTGTTAAACTTTGTGAACTTAACCTTGGACATTCCATCTGTAGAACAGGGCTAATAATAGAATCCAGACTCATAGGGTTGTTAGAAAAATGAGAGAGAATAGGCTTGTATGGCATTGCTCCTGGCTTGTATTTAGTGTACCATGAACATTTGCTTGAATTTCTAGGCGATTACATTTATATGCTTGATAGCAGCTGGGCAGAGGGGCCCAGGGAGCGTGATTTGGAGAGGGATGTTTTCCTAGAGCTAATGGATGCTGACTCCTTTGCTGTTTGCAGATGAGGCTACCCTCCTTGCCTTTCCCTATGCCTCCAGTGGAGAAAACACAGGCATCGTGAAGAAGCTTCTGAGGTTTCAGAACCGAGAGCTGGAGGCCACCCGATGCCAGCGGACAGACTACCCCGTGTAAGGGTGGGCGACTCTGGGGGGCTGGTTTGATGGGAATTGTTTCCTTGGGTTTGGTGTGTGTGTGTGTGTGTGTGTGTGTGTGTGTGTGTGTGTGCTGGTATTGAGGCTTGGGCTGAGAGCCTGAGCGCTACCTCTTTTTTGCTCAAGGCTGGCACTCTACCATTTGATCTACACCTTCACGTTCAGGTTTTTGGTGGTTATTTGAACATAAGAATCTCAGGGACTTTCCTTCTCAGGCTCATTTGGAACTGAGATCCTCAGGCCTCAGCCTCCTGAGTAGCAGGATTCCAGTGCCATGTGGCAGGGCTCTTTTATCTGAGTCCAAGCTGGCTAGCGGAAGAACTGCTTAAAAGGACACAGCTTGGCCAGGTGCTTTGTTCAAATGTTCAGATCTAATATTCAGCACAAATGTGCAGAGAGACCTGTGGACCTGGAACGTAGGGTTGGAAGCCCTCCATTTGCCTTTATATTTCAGTCCCTGGAATGAAGTGAGCAGGTCAAGGGGTTCCCCATGTAGAGACCTTAGAAGGTTTCCAGGGTAGCTGGCCCAAGCCAGCACAGACGGTGGCCTTGGTTTTGCCTGTTCTGTTCTGGAAGACTGGATGAGCTGCTAGAAATCTCCCAGCTTCCCATCTCCATCCATTGATTTGGGCAAAATCCACATATATCTATTTTTGCCTTCTGCTGAATTGGAAATGCCGAATATGGTTCCTGATTCACCTCAGATCAGATGGATTTAGCAAAGTGATTTAATTCTTCCATGCTGCCGGCTGCAGGAAGATCTTGACTCACTTTACTGAGCGTATGTTCTTGCTAAGCTTCCTTGTAATAACTTGTCGTCATGAGCTTGCTCAGCTGGGCGGGTCAGGAGGGAGCTTTGGGACACCATCTGTTTGCATATCGTGTCCCTGATTTTGAGGCTGCATTATAAAGCCAAGAATATTCTAAAGGACTTGTTTGGATATATCCCCAAAGAACCCCAGAGCTACTGATACTTTATTCCAAACTGAATTGGCTCCAGAGGAAAATGGAGAGAACTTGATGTATTTTTTGACCTTGATTCTGCTTGCCTTTGACCTTGATTTGTGTGTTTCCTATGGAAAAGGAATCCATTCCCAGCTCTTTATCTTTGAATTACTGGCCATGGTGTAATGTGTGGCCTAAAACAAGTGTTCAAGTATTTTCTGAGTCACTTGATGGATCACACATAGCTTGGCTAAGCATGTACTAGTTAAGTAGCTCCACAAATCACAGATGTGTGTTTGCAATTGAAATAGCCCCATCTTGGCTAGCCAGACACCCAAGACTGAACAACCTGAAGCAAGTACTAAGATGTTTCTGTAGGTCCAGTTATCCTGTAGGGAAGCTATTTGCAGATTATTACATTGTTCTACCTTAGGGCTTTTATCTTTGAAAGAAACAAAATTGCCTAAGAATCTCTAATTGTGTTTTTTCTCTTAATCATACATATTAGAAGAGCTTCTTATCAAACCACCTCTTATTAAAATCCATATTTTTATTTGATGTCTGGGCTTTATTAGCCTTAATCAAGAATTCAAATGGCAAGCACGTGAGATACTCCAGGAGGCAAGGAAGAGTTAGAATGTCTACTGGCCTCGTCTGATGAAGCTTAAGTCCTGTGTCTGTAGTTATGAGGACTGCTACTTTTGTCTCAAAATATCAGGCTTTGCAAGCGGATCTCCCACGATGAACACTAAGGCAAAGAAAGCAATTTAGTTGGCCATTGTTAACTGTAATTACCCATTCTTGGATGATATAAATCTACAGATTATTTTTTTTCCCTCACTCCTTCAGGTTTACTGTTTCGTTGTGGCTTTATTTACTCCATTATTGCAAGGCCAATCTCTGTGGGATTCTGTACTTTGTGGATGCTGATGAGATGTATGGCACTCCTTCCATATTCCTTACTGAAGAGGGTGAGTGTAAACAGAACCTTTAAAGTGATACTGTCATTTTCTTATCCGCTGTCTGTTAGCAGATGCATCTGTCTAGAACAAGGAGGATTTTGTCAATGTAGGATAGTAAGTACATAAATTGTATTGTTTACTCTGTGTGTGTGTGTGTGTGTGTGTGTGTGTGTGTGTGTGTGTGTGTGTGTGTGTGTGTGTGTGTGTGTGTGTGTGTGTGTGTGTGTGTGTGTGTGTGTGTGTGTGTGTGTGTGTGTGTGTGTGTGTGTACTGGTCCTGAGGCTTGAACTCAGGGTCTCGGCACTGTCCCTGAGCATTTTTGCTCAAGGCTAATGCTCTACCACTTGAGCCACAACTCCACTTGCAGCATTTTGGGAGCTTAATTGAGGATCAGTCTCACAGACTTCCTTGCCAAGGCTGGCTATGAACTGGGATCCTCTGATCTCAGCCTTTTGTTGCTGGATTACAGGCATGAGCCACCAGCTCCAGACTGTATGTCAATCATACCAGTTACTTAAATATGAAATCCAATAAAATTAGACTGGGCAAGAAAAATGAAGTCCTTCTATAAAATCCAAATTCAGCCAACTGTCAGTGGCCCCTAGCTGTAATCCTAGTAACTCAGGAGGCTGAGATCTGAAGATTTCAGTTTGAAGCCAGCCTGGACAGACAAATCTTCAATTAACCAGCAAGAAGCTGGAGGTGGAGGTGTGGCTCAAGTGGTAGAATACCAGCAGTGAGTGTAAAAGCTAAATGAAAGGGCAGAGTTCAGAGTTTAAGCCTTAGGGCTGGCATACAAAAACAAAACAACAACAACAACAAAAAACAAGTTAATTAGTTTGGGAAGACACAGTAAAAAGAGGTTACAAAAAAGGTTATGGAGTTAAGACAAGGACAGTTTGAGAATATAAATTGAGAAAATCTAGATGGCTCTTGGGCTTGGGATTGTTTGCCAAGTCTCTTTGTTTTCTTTTGATTTGGAAAAAACAGAGATGGGTTGTTTTTTATGCAAAATAAAGACCACAGGGAACCAAATGTGAGCTTCAAATGAAACCTTTATGTTTTTTTTCCTAGAAGCTTAAAATAAATGTGTTGTTTATAAATGCATTTTTACTTTTGTTGTTTTTGTTTTTGTTTTTGCTTGTGGGTTTTAAAGGATTGGGTCTTGCTAGTTGGTCCAGACTGATCAAGAACTTGCACTCCATATTGTTCAAAAAGAAATGTGCTCATTACCTAACTTAAGTAACTGTACCCCTCAGCACATCACCTTTATAATAAACTTTAAAAAAAAAAAAAGAATTTAAAGAACTTGCAGTACTTCTTTCTGCCTCAGACTCTTGAGTGCTGAATTACAGGTATACATCACCACACCCAGCTTTTGCTTTTTGTTTGTTTAAAGGGAAAACAGAACATAGTATTCAAGCTTCTTAGGACAATTGTAAAGACGTAGCTGTTTACTTCTAAGAGGTGCTCATTTTTGTTCTTCATTTTCATGACCTGTCATGTTCTTTTTAGGTTATTTGCATATTCAGATGCACCTTGTCAAAGGAGAAGACCTGGCTGTCAAAACCAAATTCACCTTACCTCTGAAGGAGTGGTTTCTCCTGGACATATCTTTCCATGGAGGCCAGGTATCTATCAGCACGCTTCATCTCAAATCATGGTGGCGTTTTCCTTTCCACTTAAGCAACAGCTATAGAGCCAGAAAGTAACCAAATTTGCCAGCAATTTTGCAGTAAATGACGCCTCTTTACAGCACTGCACTTGGCTAAATCAAACTTTTATAGACAGAAGTTTCAATCATCAGAATCTCATCCCATTTAATTAACTTTTAAAGTGCTTCTTTCGACTACGGCGTGAATGAGTAAATAATCTAGCTGCTCTTGAGACACAATTATCTGAGCAAATCTAGGCCCTTTTCCCCTAGGGAGATAGATGTGAAAGGGATTGATGTGAAGACTGCATCAGCCATGTTACATTGTGTGATCAGATGATCAGAGCCAGGACTTTTTTTTTTTTTAAAGGAAATTTATTGGCTTCATTCAGCTGAAAAATGGTTGGATTGCTTTGTATGTGTGTGTGTGTATGTGTGTGCGTGCGCACACGTGTGTGTGTATGTGTGTGTGTGTGTTAGTTGAAACAAGTACTTGTATTTGGCATTAAATGCACTTGTAATAATGGTAAACCCTAGTAGGTTGGAGGATCTTTATCTGCTTTATAAGTAAAAACTGACTGTTCCAAACTCCCATAACACAGATTTTATGGATGATGGCAAATCTGTTGTTATAATTGAAGACAAATCCATTTATTCCTGTACCCAAAGCCAGCGTACGTTTTTTTTTTTTCATCTTCTTTTCTGGTTACTTTATTTTTCTCATCAGCTTTCTTTATTGATTTGTGATTTTCCTGCAACAAAACTGGAAGAGGCGTTTTGTTTGTTCTTGTATATTAGATACTACACAGCTTTCCCCTGATGCTTGGGGTTGATCACATTTCCTTTTTTTTCTAAAGAGAAAAATAAATCAAGCCAGTTCTTGCTGCCTTCCCAAGAAGGCTTTCGAAGTCTTCATAGCTGAGTGTTCTGGGGTATATAAATATTTCCTTAAAACTGTGAGATGACTTCGCTGTGGTCCTCGATTTCCCTTTGGTGTCTGGAGGCTGATGACAGTGGTGGTGCCCGGCTGCTGTTTTCTATGGAGTGCTGTGTGTCATCAAGGCAGGCATCCATCCGGTCTTCAGAGCACATTCACACATCTTACTTTGCACCTGCTGTATGTAAAGCATTAGGCTCCAGTTGCCTATAGACTATTTATGGAAGCAACATTAAGCACGTGAAGAGAAGTCACAAGACAAGTTTAATTGCCAAATGATTCATATTGATTTCCAGAAGGGAGACAGTTTTTTCATGTTGGGGGAGGTTTTGTGAGCAAAATCTTTACGTTTGGGGAGAAGAATTTAGATGGAGAAAAGAATAAGCAGTTTTTCAGGATATCTAGCGAATGTTTCTGCCCAGGCTGGCCTTGAATCCTGATCCTCCACATCTCAGCCTCCCGAGTTGCTAGGATTATAAGAGTGAGCCACTGGCATCTGACTACAATAGAATATCAAGATATTCTGTATAAAAGGAGTTCTTTTCTCACAGCAGTAGAAGTGGCAAGTTCAACATCAAGTGTCAGTATCTGCTGAGGGCCTTCTTCCTGCATCCCAACAGGGCTAGAGAGTAAGAGCATAAGGATGGAGCCTCTGTCCTGGTGTGTTTCTTCCTCTTATTATAAAGTCACTAATACCATCATGGGGGCCGCATCCTCATGGCCTCATCTGTCACTAACACTTCTCCAAAGCCCCACTTTCAAATACCATTAACATGAATTTAGGGAGTAAGCTTTCAAGAAGTGAATTTAGTTGGGGGTCACATACAAACTGAAGTCACTGGATTAGAAAATTGCATATTATAAAAAAACATAATAGGCTGGGCATATGTAAGCCTAGCTACTCAAAAGGCAGAGATCTGAGGATGGAGGTTCACAGCCCACTTAGGCAAGAAAGTCTGTGAGACTGTTATCTCCAATTAACCACCCAAAAACCAGAAGTGAGGCTGTGGTTCAAGTGGTAGAGTGCTAGTCTTGAGCAAAAAAGCTCAGAAACAGTGCTCAGGCCCTGAGTTCAAGCCTCAGGACTGGCACCAAAACAAAAATTTAAAACCTAACAAGTATATCTTTCAGGCTAGAATATGCAGAATCTTGAGTATCAGGGAATTCATTCTTCCATTTATAAGGCAGTTGGGCATCTTGGAGAGGTTTTGAGCAGAATAAAAAAAAAATCCCTTAGAAAGATGAACATGTCGGGTAAAATGGAAGAGAAGCTAGGAGGCCAGAAAGGTGAAGAGAAAACAAAGAGTTTTTCTGTGTAGGAAGACTTTGCCTATTTGTTTTCCTTTCCGTTCTATCTGCTCTCCCTAAAGCACGCTGCATTGGTGATTTGGGTTGGTTTCTACTCTTTGTTTTCTGAAGAAAACAAAGGGAAACTAGGAAATCTACTCAGTGATTTTGTGTGTGTGCCAGTACAAGGGCTTGAACTCAGGGCCTGAGGGCTGTCCTGGAGCTTTTTCACTCAAGGCTGGAGCTCTACCACTTGAGCCACAGCAACTCCACTCTGCCCCCCGCCCCCCCCCCCCCCCAATTGTAAAGTTCATTTTCAACATAGTGTCCTGTACAAATTATTAGGTAAGTCGTCACAATCACTCCTAGTCTTTTATTGGTTAATTGGAGATAAAAGTCTTATAATCTAGCTTTGAACTGTGATTCTCAGATTTTAACCTCCTTAGTAGCTAGAAATACAGTCCTGCGCCACCAGCGTCTGGCTGCTCAATGATTTGTATGGAAATGTTGGAGAAATAAAAGTAGCTTGTAAGTCCATGGACTTAACTTATAAGTCACAGCACAAGAAAGATCCATATGAGACCACAAACAGCATTCATGACAGAAACACTGTCCCTGCTGAACAAGAGTGATGATTCTTTGTGCTTAGGGAAAGGGAAGTAGGAAGAACAGAGTGTGAACATCCTGTCACAATCTTATTTCTATCCCTAAGGCTCTTAGGGAATCAGAGTAAAGTTCAAAACCTCCTTGTGGTATCACACACATTTCCTTGTCTTTTCATGAAACAAGCTTGTAAGCCCAGACACATCAAATGAACCTTTGGCTTGGAGTTTGAAAGCATCTGAAAGCCATTGGCAGAAACTACGCTGTAGATATTTTTAACCAAGCCATTTAGGGACGTTACATTTGTTAAGTCTTAAAATATGTACAGGGCTAGTAGACTGTTGAGCTTATTTTTGCAGAAACGGATCAGGTGAAAGACGAGCATTTTTTATGAGTAATTTATATCGAGGACTCTGTTTGTAATGGGAGATTACTGATCCTTGTATCTCTCTTCCAATGTAGATAATGGTGACCACCAGCTTTGGCCAGGACTTGAAAAGCCATCATAATCAGACCATTAGGTAAGTGCAGTATTTGTATGGGTAGTACTAGGGTTTGAACTCAGGGCCTTGCACTTGATTGGCAGGCACTGTACCTCTGAGATACACTTCATCCCTTTGGTCAACTGGTTACTATATTTTTGAGATCGGACCTTGCTTCCTGCCCAGACATGTATCTGAACTGTGGTCCTCTTATTTTTTGCTTATTGTCAAAGCTAGGATGAAAGGAGCAAACTACCATGACCAGCTTCTTCCATTGAGATAGACTTCCGTGGGCTCTCCTGCCTGGGGTAATCTGGAAACATAGTCCTCCCAATCCCAGCCTACCATGTAGCTAGAATGACAAGTGCACCTGTACCCAGCTATTGGTTGAGAAGAGATCTCATATATATTCTTGGACTAGTTTCAAACCATGATCCTCCTGATCTTAGACTCCTAAATTGTTAGTATTACAGCATGAGCCACTGATACTTAGCTAATGAGTGTGAACTGTTTCATTTTTGTTTGTTTGTTTTGTCTTTTTTCATCTTGGCCTAGTCAAGGGCTAAGGGATCTTCACACTTTAGCCTTCAAAACTAATATTATTCTATACACCTAATTCAGCTTTTCCATGCATAGACTATTCCCTGCCCTTTAGCTAGGCTTTGTTCCTTTTTTTTTTATTTCTTTCACTAGGCATAAACTCACCCTACTTTTCCTGCAACCTTTTTTTTTTATTTCTAAGCAATAGAAACTAGTTCTCTCTCCAGCTCTCATTGTAAATTCTTCCTTTCAAGGCACTTCATAATTCATTTTCTTTGAAAATTATCTTCTACAAAGGATTCAGCAAAATATAAATCAAAGTATTAATGTTGCTTATTGAGAATGGTTGGTAACTTTGGCTTGGTGTAAAACATAAAAGCAGACAGCCTCCATATTTATGATCATAATCTAGATTTGAAATGTGTGCAACTATTGATATTAGAGTAACTTTTCATCCTTGTAGAACTGTTCTCTCCAAGATTACTGCAACAGAGAACTGGATTCCTTGCCTTTGCTTCATAATTTTTTTTTAGTTTGCTCTCTACGTGTTTGTAATGGGGGTTTTTACAGAGTTAGAACCACAAGAACACCTTCATTAGTAATTTGCAATTCCCAGGGTGACACTGGTAGCTCACACCTGTAATCCTAGTTACTCAAGAGGCTGAGCTGTGAGGCTGATGGATCAAAGCCAGCCCAAATAGGGACATCCATGAGACTCTTATCTCCAATAAACTACCCCAAAAAAGCCAGCAGTGGAACTCTGGCTCAAGTGGTAGAGTGCTAGCCTTGAGAAAAAGAAGCTCAGAGATAACTCCTAAGACCAGCACAAAAACAAAACAAAACAAAAAAGATAGCAGTTAGCACCCAGGGCTTTAGTTCAAGCTCCAGAATCAGCACAAAAAGAAATTAATAATAATGAAAACAAAAAAAACCCAGAAATGTGCAATGTCCCACTATAGTTAGGTAATATATATATATATAAAACACTAAATGTTCGTAAGTGTAAAGATCAGAAATAAAAATTACCAGATTTTAAATATATGACTTAAAAAAATGTCTGGACCTGGGAATGTGGCTTAGTGGTAGAGTGCTTGCCTAGCATGCATGAAGCTCGGGGTTTGATTCCTCAGTACCACATAAACTGAAAATGCTGGAAGTGGCACTGTGGCTCAAGTGGTAGAGTGCTATCTTTGAGCAAAAGAAGTTCAGGGACAGTGCCCAGGCCCTGAGTTCAAGCCCCAGGACTGGCAAAAACAAAAATAAAAACAAAAACAAAACGTCGAGCCAGCTTGGAACTTCATATGGGGAAGAGGTTTTTTGGCTTGCTTTCATTCAGAGATGCCTTTTGTGCAGGATCGAAGTATGAAGTCTCATCCAACCCAACTTCTGTCAGATTCTTAAAGAATCTTAAATTCTTAAAGGCACAGGAGGGCAGAGGTAGGAATAGAGGAACATCTCTCTCTCTCTTTCTATGTGTCTCTCTGTCTCTGTCTCTCACTCTCTCTCCCTCCCCCTCTCTCTTCTTTAAGCCATTCTTTTTTACATTTAAGTCAAACTGATTTCTTTTGGACTCTGGACACTTAGAACAATTCTTATTTTCCTGGCTGGATTAGAGGATTAGAGGTTTATAGGCAGGCTAAAGAAGCGTTGTCACTTAGCCTGAAAGGAGAAGGTCAGAGAACAACTTGATCACTCCAGTGAAGCATAGAAGAGGGGCCAGGCCAGAGCAAATGCCTTATACTGCTCCAAGGTCAGCAAAGACGTTCAGCAGACAGCCGCTTTTAGTTGTGTAGCGGGCTCTGAGTCTTCGGTGACAAACTCAAGACTGCAGAGGCTAGAGACTTCTCACTGGAAAAACAAGATCTTCGGCTCCTTTGGAAATCCCTCCTAGAGCCATATTCTGTGAAACTCTAGGAACTGAGGGTTTTTATTTTAGGATGTGAAGTCTAAAATAGTAGCTTCTCCCCTTCCCCTGCCACCCACTCCAACCTAAGGATGTGTTTGACAACTGATCAAATATCACTGGCTCCTTTCTATTTCTCATGTAAGGGCCTCGTCGCCTCTGAAATTCCAGAAGCCTGGAGGCCGATGTGAGTGAGTGAGGGGGACAGGATGGTGACAGGATGGGGATCGGGTGAGGTGACTGACAGGCATGCCTTCCACATAGCATTTTGGGGAGTACCAGAAAGCTCAAAACTGGGGCATCCGGAAGCCAAATGTCTTCAGGAACCGAACCTTATCTTCCTATTTCTAGAGGCCACAGGTTCAAAATCATGGTTCTGCAGGCCTGTTCTCTCTCTAAAGGTGTTAGGAGAGGATTGGTTCCTGGCCTCTCTTCTGGCTCCATGGAGCAGTGTAACTGCATCGTCCATCTGGGATCTTCCTGTGCATGTGTCTATATCCTGATGTCCTTTCTGATAAGAATATTTGTCATATGGAGATCATCTGACTCCAACATGACCTTAACTTACTGCATTTGCAATGATTGTACTAGCAACTGAGGTCATAGTCTAATTCACAGGACTTCAGACTTCAGCATATGGCAGGCGGGTGCGGGGAGGGCAATTCCACTCAATACCAATCATGATAGCACAACATTTGAATACAATTTTACCAAGAAAATGGGTGTAAAGACTCGGTGACAAGTAAAATATTAAACTTTGAAGTAAAGATGGGATTAAGATGACTATTTAAGAAACCAGGTCTGATTGGGGAGAGGTGATATCTCTTTAGCATCTCAGTGAAATCTTCAAAGGTGATGCAGGCAATAGGGGGCCCAAGTATACTTTATCACCGCCTCAGAGGCCCTGCCTGCACTTCTGCGGCCCCCCCCCCCCAACAGCAGAAGATCTAGAGTCCTGCTAGTCCCACCAGAGTAAAGATCTGTCCTGGGGCTCCTAGGTTTAGAGACCGGGACTCAGCTTTGCCAGAGCCCCATTTTCATAGTGAGCCAAGCCAGTGAAGTGAACATCAAATAGTTCAGGCTTTCTGGTCAGAGATGTTCTCAAGAAAGTGTTACATGCTCCATTTGTTCTTGCAATGTAAACATGATGTTGGCTCTGCCCTACAAAGGTGGTGTTAGAAGACCATGAAAGAAAGTGCTCAGGAAAAGGGCTGTCAGTAACACTCAATGACAGGAACAACATCCATCTATCTATCCATCCATCCATCCATCCAACATCCACCATCTACCCATCATTTGCCATCCATTTATCATCCCTCTACCTTCTATCCATCTATCCATTTTCCATCCTTCCATTCTCCATCTATCCATTATCTACGATCCGTCTATCATCCATCCACCCATTCATCCATTCATTCATCCATTCATTCACTCACCCATCTATCTATCCATCCATTTATCATCCACCCACACATCCATCTATTCACCCCCTTACCTATCCATCCATCCATCCATCCATTTATAATTCTTCGGTCCATCATCCACCCACTCATTCAACATATATTTGTTGCATATACATCATGTATCAGACACAGTGCTTGATTCTGAGAATAACATAATAAACAAAAAGAATACAGTTCCTGCCTTCAGGGAGCTAAGAAACCTAATAGGGGAACAAAGATAATACAAAATTCACAAATCAATTAAAATTTTAAGTTGGAAAAATTGCTGAGAAGAAAACAAACAGGGTAGCTTGGGAGAATCTCTAGTAGGTCAAACTTTTGACCAAGTCCTGAGGAAGTGGCACTGTGAGCTATAGTTACATCAGCGGTGGAGGGCAGCTATTTTGAGGCTCAGAGTTTTCCACCAGATCCGACTCTTTCTTTTTTTAATTTTTTATAGTTATTATAAAAGTAACGTACAGAGGGGTTACAGTTATAAAAGTAAAGAGTATGTTTCTCTTTGGACAATATCACCCCGCTTGCACCCTCCCAGTTTTTCCCTCCCATCCCCACTCACACAGATCTGTTTCTTGATTCTGAGTGGGGCCTGCCTGACAATGTCTGTGAATCTTTTGGACCCCTGGTGCTGGGCGGTAATAAAGCAGGGCACTCTGTGTCCAGATAAGAGGAAAAATAGTTTGCTGGTATAGCTGAGATTTTCAAAAGAGACCAGTTTGGGCTTTGAAAGAATGTTGCTTAGCTTTTATGTCAACAAAATTGATGACCATCTAACAATGCACAGTACAAGGGATTCTCTTGTAATCTTTGTATAGACACAGAGGAATTTCAGAAGACTAAGTGGGAACATCAACCTAGAGCTGGAGGACACCATCAGACAGATCTCCTGATGGCTGATAATAATGACAACTTAAAAAGTATAGTCCAGTGCCATTGGGACCAAGTAATTTCTTGTTGGTTGAAAAACATTAGTTTTTCAGGTGGCGCTGGCTCACGCCTATAATCCTAGCTACTCAGGAGGCTGAGGTCTGAGGATCAAGGTTCAAGGCCAGCCCAGGCAGGAAAGTCTGTGAGACTGATCTCCAATTAACTACCAGAAAACCAGAAGTAGTGCTGTGGTTCAAATGGTAGAGCACTCACCTTGAGCTGAAGAGCTCAGGGACAGCGCCAGACCCAGAGTTCAAGCCCCATGACCAAAAAAAAAAAAAAAAAAGTTTGATTTCAGAGTACTTGGGATTTGGATATTCTGAATAGAGTTGCTCAGCCATTAGAACCTATTCAAATACTCCCAACCCCCCCAAAATATCTCCACAATCTAGAAGACTTTTGATTCTAAATATTTTATCCATTTCAACCTGTCATTAATTTAGCCTCAATAACCAAATACGCAAGTGTTATTACTGGTTCCTGGGGCTTGAATTCAGGGCTTGGGTGCGCTCTGTGTGTGTGTGTTTGTGTGTGTGTGTGTGTGACTTAGGACTTGAACTCAGGGCCTGGCCTCTGACCCTGAACTTCTTTTGCTCAAGGCTAGCACCCTACCCCTTGAACCACACCTCCACTTCTGACTTTTTTGGTAGTTAATTGGAAATAAGAGATTCACAGACTTTCCTGCCTAGGCTAGCTTTGAACCATGATCCTCAGAACTCAGCCTCCTAAGTAGCTAGAATTATAGATGGGAGCCACCAGCACCCAGCTACTATTTCCATTCTTAAAGTGGGGAGATGAAGTCACCAGAGGTGCAGCCAGTATCTGGATCATATCATGTCCTAGGCTGCAGAGCAGAGGAGATGGGACCTTGGTAACCCACTAGGTTGGTTAAATGGAAGCCATTTCTGCTTCTACTGCAAAAACCTTGTATCCAGTGCCAGGACCTGTCTCCCGAGAGTTGGTAGAATAGAATGTTTGAGTCTTTTCAAGGTCTTGGAAAAGAGAGTCAGTTTTGTTCAGACTTAATAAGTCTGTCTTCCCTCCTGAGAGGCTGGAGGGGGAAGAGGGAGGAGTGTAAAAAAAAAAAAAAAAAAGGAAGACACTTCTTCTAGTGTTCAAGGCTGAGATTCTAAAAGGATAAATACCTCCAAGAGAAGTCCTTCCTTTCCTTTGAGTTGTGTTAGTGTACACTACTGTGTAGGAGGTGCAGACTTTTCACTTTCCCTTACCTGCCTCCTCTCCAGCCTGGTGCGCCTGTGAGAGCCGGGACTGTGGTCTTTGCTCAGAGGCAGTCAGTCCCTCCCCTGTCCTGGAATGACCCTGGTTGTCTGACGTCCCGCATCCAACTGTGTGTTTATCTTGCTGTCACCCTGGCCCTTTGCCTCCTCCACTCCCCCAGCTCCTGGTGGCCTGCCTAGCATTTTCTTCTCTCTCCTTGTGCTCCCATCTGCCCTCAGAGCTTCTTGGCTCTTTCTCCTTTGCCTAGTTTCTCACCTGGCACCTGTCCTGGGCCTCGTCCATCCCTGCTGCTCACATATGTTCTGGTACTACCATGGCCATCCATCCTATTTTAATTTTTGAAACAGCTAATAAGTGCACATGGTTTCAAAGAGGAAAAAGGAAGTTGTAATAATCACAGAAAAACAATTAAATGTGTTTCTTTCCTTTTCAACTCTGCTCCCCATTTGCCTAGCTGCGTTATTCTCTATCCTATGGGGAAATACTGTTATCATTTTCTTTTGTTTTTGTTTTTTTTTGGGGGGTCCGGTCGTGGGGCCTGAACTCTGGGCCTGGGCGCTGTCCCTCAGCTCTTCAGCTCAAGGCTAGCGCTCTACCACTTGAGCCACAGCACCATTTCTGGCTTTTTTCTTTTTGCTTATGTGGTGCTGAGGAATCGAACCCAGAGCCTCAGGTATGCAAGGCAAGCGCTCTACCACTGAGCCACCTTCCCAGCCCCTGTTATTATTTTCTTATATAAACTTCTAGAGTTTATACAGGGAAAAAAATCATACATTTCTTTTTTAGATGGATACTATAATCTGTTCTGCCCCTTTATTTTTACTGTACTATTTTATTCCATTTGCTCTGCTGAGCTTTGAACTCAGGACCTTGTCCTCAGTAGGCAGGTCTACCACTTGAGTAATCCCCCCCATCCCCTCCCAGCCCTTTTTTGATTCTTCAGATAGGTCTTTTTTTTTTTTTTTACTTGTCTTGAATCATAATTCTCCTACCTATTCCTCCTGAGTAACTAAGACCACAGGCAAGGGCCACTTTGGCTTATTGATTTAGATGGGGTATTTGCTAACTTTGTGCCTACACTAGATTGTTTTGGTAGATAATCCCAACTCAACTCCTGAGTAACTGGGATTACAAATGTAAGCCACTACTCCTGTCCTTGCATGTTTATTTCTTATTGGACAGTATGTTTTGCAGATCTTTCCAGTTCTTTCTGACCCTTTCTTAAGCTGCATAATAAACAGCCCACATTGTGGGCTTTGTGAAGGAATGGATGTACCAGCTCTTACCTCTAGACACCTGGAGTTTTCCAATCTTTGGTGAATGTAAACAACACATCAAGGAACGTGTCAGGCATTTCACATAGAACATCTATTTTCCACATCCTTCCTCTTGCTTCCAGGGCCCTGGACAACCATCGCGTCCCCTGTGGTGGCCACTGTGTATACCAGCCAACCTCACAGGCTGAATATTGATTCTGAAAATGGATCAATCAATGAAACTGATAGAATTGTTTGTGATTGTTAGTTTTAACTGAAATTATTTTACTCTACAAGAAACAAAAACTCATTGAACAAATAGAGAAAGTGAATGCAGAGAGCTTAAAACGCAGACTATTGATAAGGACTGCTGAGGAGCAGGCCACAGTGAAGTCAGTGGGCTTGATCATAGATCTTGACCTGTGTGTAAAAATGTCACAAGTCGGGGCTGGGAAGTTGGCTCAGTGGTAGAGCGCTTGCCTTGTATGCCTGAGGCCCTGGGTTCGATTCCTCAGCACCACATAAGCAAAAAGAAAAAAGCCGGAAGTGGCACTGTGGCTCAAGTGGTAGAGCGCTAGCCCTGAGCTGAAGAGCTGAGGGACAGCGCCCAGGCCCAGAGTTCAGGCCCCACGACCGGACCCAAAAAAAAAAATGTCACAAGTCTTTCTCCTCAGAAAACTAATGTATCCTTCTCCTCCTCCTCCTCCTCCTCCTCCTCCTGATTCTAGGGCTTGAACCCAGAGCATTGTCCCTGAGCTTTCTTTGCTCAAGGCTAGCTCTCTATCACTTGAGCTACAGCTCCACTTCTGGCTTTTTTGGTGTTTAATTGGATATGAGAGTCTCATAGACTTTCCTTTCTGACTGGCTTTGAAATTCAGTCCTCAGATCTCAGCCTCCTGAGTAGCTAGGATTACAGGTGTGAGTCACTAGCACCCAGCTGCTAATATTTTTTTCTTTTTTCACTTAAGGCTGGAGCTCTCCACTTGAGCCACAGCTCTACTTCCAACTTTTGGTGTAATTGGAGATAAGAGTCTCACAGATTTTCTTCCCTGGGCTGACTTTGAACTATGATCCTCAGATATCAGCTCCTAAACAGCTAGGATGATAGATGTGAGCCATAGGCTGAAAAGTATGTTTTAAAATAATCTGATTACAGTTCAGTTCAGTGATCCTGTGTGTGTGTGTGTGTGTGTGTGTGTGTGTGTGTGTGTTTCTCTAGCTTCCGGGAGGATTTCCATTACAATGACACAGCTGGATACTTCATTATTGGCGGGAGCAGGTATGTGGCTGGTATCCAAGGTTTTTTTGGACCTCTGAAGTACTATCGCCTTCGAAGTCTCCAGCCTGATCAGGTGAGATGGGGGGGGGGGGGCACCAAGAAGAAAATTATGGGATGCATTGGTGATGGGTGGGCCACTAACAGGCAAGGAACCCACTGTAAACAAAAGATTTACCCAAGCGGATCAGCCCCCTGAGCCACGGGCTCAGTCATCAAACGTAATTAATACCGAGGTCTTTCCCCCAGCCAATACAATAATAGATTTCTGTGCACATTTGCTTCATTTAGTACTCATAAAATGGAACCCATTTACTTGCTCTGTTTTAATAACTACTAGCTTAATTATAGAGTAGATTTTTATCAGGCCGTTGCCTATCTAGTGATTAAGCTAATGAAAGGAGAGAATCTTAGTTATTTGGTAAAGCTTCTTTTATACGCTATTATTTAAAGTATCACAAGAGGAGATAGATACTCCAGCGAATTAAAATCTTGATGGTGTCTCCTGCTCTCTGCAGAAGCTGGGATTTGGGCTCCTGCTGTGGTGGGCTGGCTGCAGAGGCCTGAACTGCTGAGGACTAAGTACGGCCCACCCCTTCCGGAGCCCTGAGGAGCTCCCACCCATGAAGGGACCTTGTAGCTGCTGGTGGCTCCAGCCAGCTGGGGGACAGAGGAGGGGGCTCTCTAGCATAAAACTTCAGGGGAGTCTGTTTTGTCAGCAGTATTAGGGAGATCAGAATCCCCACATACTCTCTGGAAGTTTCATTCTCATGTTCCTGACCTGCAGGGTTTATTCTGGAGAATGCAGAAAGCACTAGGCAAAGTCATAATTAGAACAAATGGGAAGTCCTTCTGCCTATAGAGACATCGTAAAAATTCTAGGAGGTGGAAAGAGGAAATTCATTTGGTTGTGCAGTAAACACTGAATACCTACTGCACATCAGACTCTGGGCTAGATACTGAGCTAGATTGGAATGGTGCTTTAAATATTTTTTGAAGACAGTCTATTTAATAGCATCAGCAAACATATGCACACATATATTTATACAAAATGGACCCAAAAGTTTTTACTAAGAAGACATACTCTTGCTATGTACATACAATGTACTGTGGTATTTTGTATTCTCCACTCAGAGAAAACACATTCAGGAATCTGAGATCTGGAAGATCAGTTTAATGCCAGCCTAGTCAGAAAAGTCTGCTTGCTAGAGGCCACCTCTAAAATAATTAGCAAAATGCCAGGCTGAAGGTGTGGCTCAAGTGGTAGAGTACCAGCCAGCAAGCAAGAGAAGCAAGCAGTAGGCCCTGAGTTCAAACCCCAGTTTAAAACAACAACAGCAATGACAAAGGAAAGAAAAAATTGGGGCTGGGAATGTGACTTAGAGGTAGAGTGCTTGCCTAGCATATATGAAGCCCTGAGTTCCATTCCTCAGTAGCACATAAACAGAAAAAGCCAGAAATAGTGCAATGGCTAACGTGGTAGAGTGCTAGCCTTGAACAAAAGAAGCTCAGGGAAAGTGTCCAGCCCTGAGTTCAGGCCTCAGGACTGGCAAAAAAAAATGGGCTGGGGTATGGCTCAAATGGTAGCAATTTTATGGGGATAGAGTATGTGTGCACCCAACCTGGGCTTGAACTCAGGGTCTGAGCACTGTCCCTGCTCAAGACCAGCCTTCTTATCACTTGAGCCACAACTCTTACTTCTGTTTTTTTTTTTTGGTGATTAATTGGAGATAAGAGCCAGGACTTTCCTACCCATATTGGCTTTGAACCTTAATCCTCAGGTCTCAGCTTCCTAAGTAGTTAAGATTGCAGGCTTGAGCCACCAACACCTTACAATCAAATGGCATAGTTCTGAAACCATGAGTTCAAAGCTCATTTCATGAGCTCCTGTTGGGCCCAAAGATGCATTTGGAAACTCAGAGTTAAGACAGATCCCCTGTTCCTGAGGTGCTCCCTTTCTGGGCCTGCAATGGATAGGCCACAAAAGAACACATGACAGGTTTTAAATCTCACATAAGCATGTGTTTGAGCATTTGAAGATGCATGTGTGCACCCGCAGGCCAGAAGGGGTACTGTAGGGAAATGTGTCCAGAAGTAGCGTCCTAACTATGGCTTTATCTAGTGACTCCTGATTGTGCTTTTACTGGGCTTTTGATGGTTGAGTAGGAGCTTGTCAAGCAGAAAGAAGTGGGAGGCAGCAGGCGCAGCCTGGTCAGAATTGGCATCACTGTGTGAGAAGGAAGACCAAGTTAGATCCAATTGTCTAGGGACCACCTATAGCAGGATCAAAGAAAAAGATAGAGGCCTGGTCTCTGGGAAATCCTGACAAAGGAGGGAGATGTCACAAGAAGCCAGAGGTGTCCTTGAACCCAAGTAATAACCTTGATTTACACACTGAGAGAAGATGATAGGTGTTCAGACAAGATCCGTGGTGGTATCTCAGGAGAATGAAGTAGATAGGTTGTATCCTTCTAGATTAGTCAGTGGGATCTGATGATTTCTGTTCATCCTATCTTCCTTTTGTAGATCCATAATCCCTTCCTCCAGAAGCAGCTAGCTGAACAAGTCAAGTTGTATTATGAACGATGTGCTGAGGTGCAAGAAATAATATCTGTGTATACTTCAACAGCACAGGTGGGGCGAGAGAGGCAAGAAGCATGTAAGTATGGAGCTCTAGGAGGGCCATGTTTAAACACAGTGCATCTGTAGTAACATGATTAGCTTTCTCCTAATGGACTAAAATAGAACACGTATGGCTTGGCTCAGATACCAGTAGGGACGAGTGTGACCTCAAGCCCTCTACAGATGGATGCAAATGAAAATGAACATTCCACCTGGATTCAAAACACACAAAAAAACAAAAGCCTACCAACAACAGCCAAGAATAACCAAGATTTGTCTCATCGCTTCTGCCAAACCTGATCTTGTTTCAGAATACAAATGCAAAGGGGTGTTTTGAGCTTTGCATGGTATTATTTCCATCCAGAAGGCTAGTTTCAGAAAATAAAAACAAAAAATGAATTGGAAAATAAATTAATCATTAGAAGCGTTTCCCCATCCGCTCGCCTTTGTCTTGGGTCATTAGTATCTAAAGATGAGCTTTCAAAAATAGTGAACAATGGCTTTGTTGTGTGGAGCTCTGATTTATTTCTTTTAAATCTGACTCCTGGAAGACATTAGTAAATTTCAGGAGAAAGAATGAATCTCATACAGATTAGACTCTTTTCACCAACCTCTTTCATTTAGGAGTGTTAATCAGTTACAAAATTCCTTCCTGTCTTGTCTCCCAGGGTCCCAACTTCAATTGAAAACTTATAAATTTCTCTGTGCTATAAATCTTGTTTGATATGTGGCACCAGAGTTAGCTATATATGGCTTGTCCAGATGGGAAATTCCTGTGGAGTCTTCGCCACCGGAGAAGCTGACCATGGTGGTTCATGCCTGTAATCCTACTTATTCAGGAGGCTGAGACCTGAGGATCAAGGTTCAAAGCCAGCCCAGGATATAAAGTTTAAGAGACTCTTAGCTCCAGTGAACCAGCAAAAAAAGCTGGAAGTGGAACTGTGGCTCAAGTGCTAGTCTTGAGCAAAAAAAGCTAAGGGATAGTGTCTAGGTCCTGAGTTCAAGTGTGCAAGTGCGCGCACGTGTGCACACACACACACACACACACATACACACACAGCAAATAAGTTCTGCTGGCATATGTAATCATATCTGAAGTGGAACTTTCCATTCCAGGCTATGGGAGGGATGAGTGTGTCCTGATCATGTCCCAGTCTACAAGGTAGCACCCCTGCAGTTACTTCTAGTTGAGAATAGACTGTCCTGAAATCCTGGCTACTAGGGAGGTAGAGATAGGGAAGATGGAGCTTCAAGGCCTCAGGGCCCAAGTAAAAAGTTAGCAATATCCCATCTTAACTCCCAAGTTGGTTATGGTAGTACATGCCTATTATCCAAGGAATACAAGAAGCAGAGATAGGAGGATCAAAGTCCAAAGCTAGCTCTGGGGGCTGGGACTGTAGTTTAATGGTAGAGTGCTTGCCTAGCATGCACAAAACCCTCAGTTTGATTCCTCAGTACCACATAAATAGAAGTGGTGCTGTGGATCAAGTGGTAGAGTACTAGCTTTGAGTAAAAGAAGCTCAGGGATGGTGCCCAGGCCCAGAGGTCAAGCTCCAGGACTTGCAAAAAAAACCCCAAAAAACAAAAAATAAAAATAAAGCTAGCTCTGGAGAAAAGTAAGAGACCCTTTCCAAAAAAAAAAAAAAACCCAAAACCCACTAAAGCCAAAACAGGTGAGCCTGGCTTCAGCGGTAGAGTGGTAGAGGGAAGCCTGGAGTTTAAACTCTAGTGCCACCCAAACCAAACAAAGCAGAATAGAATGTCCTGGCAGGTCAGCTTCTGTGCTCACTGCTGAGGCACCCAGAAACTATGACACTGTCAGAAATGGGGAAAACTCTGATTTCGGTGACTAATGCCACATCAGAGTTCTCCCCATCAAGTCCAGCCTTGAGTGCTGCTATGCTGGGGGGCATCAGGGAGATTTTCCTAATGTCTCTGACCCGCTGTTCTGGGGCGGGGGTGTCCTTGGGCTTGGCTCTTCAACCCACATGACAACAGAGCAGCTGCTTAGATATCAGCTTCCCGGGGACCGGTCCAAGGCCAGCTGCTTGTGCTGAAGAAGTAGTCAACAGCCATCAGCAATGTTGGCATGTTTTTGTGGCCTTGGCTTTGAACGCTGAGCTCAAGACAGTGACATCAAGATCCATTTCAAACCCCCCTAGACTTTCCTGCCCGTGATAGCTTTGACCCACAATCCTCAGATCTCAGCCTCCTGAGTAGATAGGATTACAGATGTGAGCCACTGACACCTGGCAGGAAAGGTACTTTGCTAGGGAAGAAGGCTCAGTATCTTCTACAGGTGTAACAGCTTATGCTTGTTACTGTGTAGGTGGCCTCCACAACTCCTACCTGGACCTGTGGCGCAGGTATGGGAGACCCTCGATGTGCACCACTTTCCCCTGGGAGAAGGAGCTGAGAGGCAAACACCCCGGCCTGTTCCAGGTGTTGCTGGAGATGGAAGGTAATTGCGCCTTGGGTTCCTTTGGATGCTGGTTAGAATGCTTTTCTGTTTTTCTGTTTTACTCACCCTCTTTTGGCGATTCAGGACTCTGTGTTATTTTTAATCCTAGTGCTCTAGATTAATTTCAATTTAAATTCTGCCCTTGTGTGCCCACAACTCTCAATATATCTAAGCACATATCCAATGCTAAACATAAAGACTTAAATTTAGGAATCGCTCAGGCAGTGCTTTATCTAAAGCCAAGGCCACAAATGGACCAGCTCACAGGCCGAGCTGATTTCTCAAATGCAGTTGATTTGCAAGATACCTTGCTGTGTATTTGAAATGAGCCTAAGGATCTGTTGTAGAAAACAAAATGTAACTTTCTAGCTCTACTTCAGATATCCAGAGATATATGTTCCTCCAGGCAGCAAGACTGGAGGTGAGGCTCGGGCCTAGATGTGCTGTGTGCATCCACTACCCTCTTCCCCGAGCCTTACCTCCCACTTCTTACCTTCAAGGATCTGTCTCTCTGGGCCCTTAGGTACTTCAACTGGAGACTGCTGATTGACTACCAGGAATTTGCATGCAACACAGGGCCAGCTTCTGGTTAGACCCATTGGGCCTAGTAATCAAGTGTGCACTAGAAGGCTGTGAGGGTTAGAAACACTGTGCCTGTCAGGAAGAGGAAGCTGGGATTGTAACAGCTGCCTCAGTAGTCAGGGGCTACATGTAGTATTCCTAGGCAGGGAGACAACACTTTGGGTCAAAGTGGCAGAAACTTAACTAAGAAGTACAGTAGCTAGGCACCACTGGTTCACATCTATAATCCTAGCTTCTCAGGAAGCTGAGATCTGAGGATTGCCAGTCGAAGCCAGACAAGGCAGAATAGTTAAGACTAACCAACAGAAAGCTGGAAGTGCATGTGTGGCTCAGGTGGTAGAATTCCAGCTCTGAGCAGAAAAGCTAAGTGAGAGCATGAGGACCTGAATTCAAGTACCAGTACCAGCAGGGGGAAAAGTAAATACTAGTATTCACTGACATGGGTCTGCTTTGTAAAAAGGGACTCTCTGCCCGGAGGAATTCATCCTGTAATGGAATATCCCATCTTTTATTCTCCCAATAGTTGCTTGAGTGGTTATTGGGTCCCTTGGCTGGGAGATACACCTAAGGACACAGAGTCCCCAGGGATGGATTTGAAAGCAAAGACAAATTGTAAGGCATTTTAATTAGAGTAGCAGAGTGGTCAGCTCTACCTGGAGTGCCAGAAGGCTTCCTGGAGGAGGTGACATTGGGACTGATTCTTGAAGGTGTTTGCCAGGTACGTGAGGCAGGTGTGGGAGGCAGAGGGATTCTCAAGGAGTTGCAGCATGAGGAGCTGAAAGCCCTGGAGAAGGAGGAATCCAGCTGCAACTCGAGCACAGTCTGAGGATCTGGGGCTGTCTGTGAGGTGTCAGGCAGGGAGAAAAGCATGATAATGGGTTTTTTTTTTTTTTTTTTGGTGGTGATAGGGTCAAGGTGAGGACTTAGGTTTAATGTTCAGAGTTAGGGTTAGGGTTTAAAGTTATGGTTATGGGTTTAGGATTAGGGTTTAGAGTTAGGGTTGGGGTTAGGGTTAGGGGTTAGGAGTTGGGGATTTAGGATTAGGGTGAGGGTTAGGAGTTGGGGATTTAGGACTAGGGTGAGGGTTAGGAGTGGAGCTGGAGGCAAGGGGTGCATTGACATGAACCCAGAAAGGCAAGCATGCAGGCAGATTGAAACAGACCTAAAAGACAGGAAAAGAGTCCCCAGAGGACCCATGACCGCTGGTCTATGGGTAAGAAGGGCAAGGCGCTGGCAAATGGTGTCAAGTCCTTGGACAACATGGCCTTCGGAGTAGGGTGCTGTGGCTCCAGTTTAAGCTAACACTCATTAACTATGTGCTCTTGGACAAGTGGTTTCTGTGAGCGTCTGTTTCCTCATCTATAGGCTGTCCTGGTGCTGGGTAGAGACCTGGCATGTGTGTGGACTGCTTGGGAGCTGTCATGGCAGTGTTTGGCCCCCAGGGAGTAGGGGTTCCCAACCTTGGGGCTATGACATTTTGGACAGGAGGATTTGTGTGTGTGTGTATGGGTATTTGTGTGTGTGTATGTGAGGGAGTTTGGGGTTGCTTCTGATACCTTTCTGGCCTCTACTCTGATACTCAATAGCTCCCCAACCCCCTCTCCTTCAAAAGCCTCTACAGGCACCAGGCCAAGTCACACTAGACTGAGAACCACTACTGTTGGGGGTACTGCCAGGATTACTGGATGGAAATAATTCTGGGTTTCCCTTCCCTCAGCCCCCCAGATGGTTCCAACAGGGAGGGGAGGGAGATGGTGTGCAGTGTTGCAGCCAGGACCACAGCCATCTAAAATTACTTTTATGCGATTTCTAATCATTGTTAAATATAGTGTCATTGGTGAGAAGAGGAGTGAATCATTTTTCACAATACATTCTTTTTAAAGAAAAATATTCCCAGGAAGAATATTTTTATGCTGTATATATATTTTTATAGCTCAAAGTTTTATTTATAAAAATACAGGACTATTTTATTCTCCACAGAGGCCTGGAAATGGGATCTAATTAAAAACTCAAATCATGAGCTCTGTAACCACAATAACTCCCAGGATCTTATCGTTAAAGAATAATGAGATCCCAGAGAGTTCCACTGACCACAATTTGGCTACTTAGATCCCCATAGATTGCCAGGGAGAGGGGCAAAGCCCAGATGTGTCACTGTTGGTGCTAGACCTGCCAGTCAGACGTTCCTGGGGACAAATTATAATAGCATCCTAGAGTATACCATGAGAGATGTACACAGCACATTTCCTGCTACCAGAGCACATAGCCACCTGCTTCCTGCACTAGGAAGAGAGGGAAGGGAAAGTGGACAGACAAGTCACTCTTCAGAACCATTCCCAAGGCTCCATTCTGCCTTCAGTGCCTGATTTTCTAAGTTAGAAAGGACTGGGGAGCCTCGTGCAAAGCAAGGGCCATTCTTCTCCACTCCCTCCCCCCAGTTCATCTCTGTACCTGGCACAGCGCCCTAGCCTAGAGCTGTAATAGCATCTTGTAGCTCTCTCAAGAGAGAGACCAGTGTCATGTACCATGTACCCAGCTTCCTAACAAGGTTGAGAAAAAGGCAGAAAATTAGATCTTATACATTGAGGCTAAAAGAAAAACACTAAGTTCACGTTGGAGCATCTTTTTGGTCTTTTACAAAGAGAATGGCAGTGAGATTGGCATGACTCTCCCTGCCCGTTCTCTCAGGGCTCTTCCTCCATCAGTGTCGAGCGGGGCCTCGCGTGCTGAGGACATGTTTCATTGATAGGAATTGTGTCTTGCTTCTGCTTTCTGCTGCTGTCCCGACCTGTTGATGAACAGACTTTATTAGAACATCCTCCTGGCATGTTCTCTAAGAGTCTGTGCCTCGCAGGCACAGCATAGTGATGTGAGAAGGGAGCTGATCTTGAGGAGTTGGAGCCTGATGGAGATCCTTAGGTCGTGGGGGGGATGACGCCTCAAAAATGGAGCCAGGCACTGGTGGCTCACGCCTGTAATCCTAGCTACCTAGGAGACTGAGATCTGAGGATCTCAGTTCAAAGGCAACCCCTGCAGGAAAGTCTAGGTGACCCTTATCTCCAATTAACCACCAGAAAACTGGAAGTGGCACTGTGACTCAAGTAGTAGAGTGCTCCCCTTGAGTGAAGAGCTCAGGGACAGTGCCCAGGCCCAGAGTTCAAGCCCTATGACCCCAAAAAGGTATGTGTGTGTGGGGGGGGCGGGTTTGGGTCATTCTCATGGCACCCTTGAGCCTTTGAGAGAGGGAGTTGTTTATTATATAGAGTAAGCCCAGCCTCTGGCTCACTCTCTGTTCAGTGATATGATTTCTCTCACATGTGCACCAAGTGCAAACATGAGACTTTCCCAAAAGCCAGGCACCAGGGCTGGGATAGAGCTCAGTGGCAAAGCACTTTCCCAGAAAGTGAAACATCCCGGCTTCGGTCCCCACTACCAAAAAAAGAAAGAAAAAAACAAATCATAAAAGTACAGTTAGGGGCTAGGAAGGTGGCTCAGTGGTAGAGCGCTTGCCTTTCATGCATGAGGCCCTGGGTTCGATTCCTCAGCACCACATAAGTAAAAAGAAAAAAGCTGGAAGTGGCGCTGTGGCTCAAGTGGTAGAGCGCTAGCCTTGAGCTAAAGAGCTGAGGGACAGCACATAGGCCCAGAGTTCAGGCCCCACGACCGGACCCAAAAAATAAAAAAAAATAGAAGTACAGTTAAAAAAGCCAGACATCATCCCTTGAACCCCCAGAACTATGAGCTAAAATAACCCTTTTCCTTATAAAGATAGCATGCCTTGGGCATGTCATTACAGTAACACAAAACAGACTAATACATTCATGGCATTGCATTTTCCATACCTGAAAAAAGCTAGGAAAACCAACTTGAGTGTCAGCATTTGATGCTTGGACTTCTTATCAAAGGAACAGAATAGGTGCAAAACGAAGGCAAGGCATTGAAGTGAAGCGCACATTCTCAAGTCATTCTCAACTGCCCACTCACTCATTCACTCCACACTGCGGGCTTAGATTGAGCCAGGAGGGAGCAAAGAATGAACCAAGGCTGAGTTTAAACAAGAGTTATTGGGAACCAACAGTAAGGAAACGCATCAACTCCCTTCATTCCCCCAAGGGAATTAATCTGTAGAATTGTCTTTCCTGCATTTAATAGATTAGATGGACAGAACCCATGCCTGGCATGTCTGGTGTTCTCTGAGGGAGTCCTCTTTGTTCTGGGTATTATCTCCTCATAGCCACAGTCAACACTCAGCTCCCAGGCTGCTACTTCTCCACGTTTCAGACTGGAGCGATTTCTCCCCACACTGTGATTTTAGATGGCTCATCTGCTCTCCATCTAAGCCAAGCCCACACTTCACAGGAGGGATGGCAGCCTTGCAGGGGTGGAGCGTGCCGGGCTGCAGCTTCATGTCAAGTAGG